ACAGCCTACACATGGAATAACAGCCTACACAGCACAGCCTATACACAGGGTCACAGCCTACATGGGATGACAGCACAGCCTACACATGGGCTGACAGCACAGCCTACACATGGGATGACAGCACAGCCTACACATGGGATGACAGTCTACACAGTACAGCCTACACATGGAATGACAGCCTACACATGGGAAGACAGCAAGGCCTACACATGGTATGACAGCACAGCCTACACATGGGATGACAGCCTACACAGCACAGCCTACACATGGAATGACAGCCCACACAGCACAGCCTACACATGGAATGACAGCCTACATATGGATGACAGCCTACACATGGATGACAGCCTACACACTGAGGTGAAGCCTACACATGGGGTGACAGCCTACACATGCCCATCAAGGATGATATCAGCCCTGCCAAAACTAAACTGTTCCAGACATCGGGCATGCCCTCTCCTTGGCTGTGAATGCTCCACAACAGAGATTACCTGATGGTTCTGTGTTGAACATAGATAGCACTGATCAGAGTGCCGACAGCTCCAGCAGGCTGAATGCACTGGCATCTAACTACCTTGTTATCAGAGGCGGGGGATTAGTCTCACTGTTGGCTGGTCTGTATCTTAACTGTCTCTAATGAAGTCTCACATATCCCTGAACCTAAACTTTCATTCCAGGTTATGATCAAACATGTTTACACTGGCAGACATGGCTTCATCATCAGGCTGCAGCACAGAGAAGGATGTGTGTGATTGGGAGTGGGATGGGGAGGGTGATGAAGAGGGGTGATGGGGGGGGGTGATGAAGAGTGATGATGGAGGGTGTGTGTGTGTAGCTGGGAGTGTGATGGGGAGGGATGATGGGGAGGGGTGATAGGAAGGGGTGATGAAGAGTAATGATGGAGGGGTGTGTGTGTGTAATTGGGAGTGTGATAGGAAGGGGTGATGAAGAGTGATGATGGAGGGTGTGTGTGAGTAATTGGGATTGTGAGTGGGAGGGGTGATAGGAAGGGGTGATGAAGAGTGATGATGGAGGGTGTATGTGAGTAATTGGGATTGTGAGTGGGAGGGGTGATAGGAAGGGGTGATGAAGAGTGATGATGGAGGGTGTATGTGAGTAATTGGGATTGTGAGTGGGAGGGGTGATGGAGAAGGGTGATGAAGAGTGATGATGGAGGGGTGTGTGTGTGTAATTGGGAGGGGTGATGGGGAGGGGTGATGGAGAAGGGTGATGAGTGATGATGGAGGGTGTGTGTGTAATTGGGAGTGTGATGTGGAGGGGTGATGGAGAAGGGTGATGAGTGATGATGGAGGGGTGACAGAGGGGGTGATGGTGTGTGTGTGTGTGTGTGTGTGTGTGTGTGTGTGTGTGTGTGTGTGTGTGTGTGTGTGTGTGTGTGTGTATGAGTGATTGACCTTGTTCCCATGGCAACTCAAACAATTAACAAGTAAGAATTCTAGATGCAAATAGGCATTACTTACTTGTTGAACTGTTATGGAGACAGTGAGTGAGTGAGTGAGTGAGTGAGTGAGTGAGTGAGTGAGAGAGTGAGTATGATTTTACCCTACTTTTAGCAATATTCCAGCAATATCACCGTGGGGGACACCAGATATGGGCTTCATACATTGTACCCATGTCGGGAATCAAACCTTGGTCTTGGGCGTGACGAGCGAACACTTTAACTACCAGGCTACCAGACTGCCCCCGAGAGATATACAGACAGACTTGGCTGGTGAAGTTTGCACGGATAGAAAAGACATGGGAAGGAAGAACTACCATTAAGATCAATCTAGGGAGCATCTTAAGCTAATATGTCACCTCGAGGTAACAAGGCAAACCATGGATTGCACCAGATATTAATGCTCTCAGTATACCACCTCTCAAGCAATCACATCATGGATTCTCTATGTTCTCCAAGCCAATGCAGAGGAATTCTTTATTCAATTTAATCATCACCCCACAAGGCATTGATAAAAATCAATAATGTCGCTGATCGAGGTCATGGCTTCCTCCTCCCACGAAGCTATGTGGCAGGAAGGTGGACGGTCTTGACATCGTAGGAGACAATCGTCACGTGGTCTTGACACGCTTTTGATGTGTCTTAACACGGGAGGGGCCATTGGTCAGAGGTCTGGGGCACTGATTGGGGGCACTGATTGGAGGCACTGGTCTGGGGCACTGATTGGAGGCACTGGTCTGGGGCACTGGTCTGGGGCACTGGTCTGGGGCACTGGTCTGGGGCACTGGTCTGTGGCACTGGTCTGTGGCACTGGTCTGGGGCAGGTCTGGGGCAGGTCTGGGGCACTGGTTTGGGGCACAGGTCTGGGGCACTGGTCTGGGGCACTGGTCTGTGGCAATGCTCTGAGGCACTGGTCTTGGGCACTGGTCTGGGGCACTGGTCTGGGGCACTAGTCTGGGGCACTGGTCTGGGGCAGGTCTAGGGCATTGGTTTGGGGCACTGACTGGAGGCACTGGTCTGGGGCACTGGTCTGTGGCACTGGTCTGGGGCAGGTCTGGGGCAGGTCTGGGGCACTGGTTTGTGGCACTGGTCTGGGGCACTGGTCTGAGGCACTGGTCTGGGGTACTGGTCTGAGGCACTGGTCTTGGGCAGGTCTGGGGCAGGTCTGGGGCAGGTCTGGGGCACTGGTTTTGGGCACTGATTGGAGGCACTGGTCAGGGGCACTGGTCTGTGGCACTGGTCTGTGGCAGGTCTGTGGCAGGTCTGTGGCACTGGTTTGGGGCACTGATTGGAGGCACTGGTCTGGGGCAATGCTCTGAGGCACTGGTCTGGGGCACTAGTCTGGGGCACTGGTCTGGGGCAGGCCTAGGGCATTGGTTTGGGGCACTGGTTTGGGGCACTGACTTGAGGCACTGGTCTGGGGCACTGGTCTGGGGCACAGGTCTGGGGCACTGGTTTGGGGCACAGGTCTGGGGCACTGGTCTGGGGCACTGATTGGAGGCACTGGTCTGTGGCAGCGGTCTGTGGCACTGGTCTTTGGCACTGGTCTGAAGCACTGGTTGGAGGCACTGCTCTTTGGCACTGCTCTTTGGCACTGCCCTGTGGCACTGGTGGGAGGCACTGGTCTTGGGCACTGGATGGAGGCACTGGTTGGAGGCACTGGTCGGTGCCACTGGCCTGAGGCACTGGTCTTGGGCACTGGATGGAGGCACTGGTTGGAGGCACTGGTCGGTGCCACTGGCCTGAGGCACTGGTCTTGGGCACTGGATGGAGGCACTGGTTGGAGACACTGGTCGGAGGCACTTGTTGCAAACCACAATCAAATGACTTGCAAAACCTGTTGAACATTCGCTGCATGGGGCACCCAGATTTGTGCTCTGATTCTGACTCAGGGATGCTGCCAGATTTTATTAGCATAGTTGGTGTGATGCTAATGAGAGGTGGTGGGCAGGCTGCACTACACACATGGTGAGTGATTAACATACCCTGGCAATCCAGACACCAGGTCCCAACACTAGGATCACATCTTGGAACAACCTCTGCATTTGGTTGGTTGCCTGCAAGTGGCACGATTGGTTGCCTGCAAGTGGCACGGTTAATCGAGCTGGTATTGTATGCATGAAGGTCCAAACTTTGCCCCATATCATAATACTATGGGACAATTATTTAAGTCATTGACACACACCCTGTTAATACATTGTCTGTACATCAACTCATTGACACAACCCATGTTCATTGCTTGTCTGAGAATCAACATATATGCAAATGGCACGACCCCTGTTCATTGCCTGTGAATAATAACACATTTGGTATCATCTGTGTTCACACATCAGTGACAAATTTCTCATCTGATATTTAATGTCAAGTGTTGGTTATTGACTGGTAAACTTCTTTGATAGGAATTTAGAAGTTGGAGTACTATATAAGGATAGGATTTATGGATGAACGACTTCTTTATTACAATTAAGAGAGATGTTTAAGTGTAGGTTCTAAAACAGTTATCAAGCAAGTTTAATGAACCTACGCCGAAACGTCACTCTCAATAGTAATATAGAAGTTGCTCATCCCGAAATCCTATCCTTACTTGGTTGTAAACTGACACTCCCTGTATAAAAGAAACTCGGCCCAAGTCTATCGTTACTCCTCTAAGTTGCTTTCTCTAACTAATGAATTCAGACACTTGTTTCATAAAGTCAGTATGACACACATGTGTAATATTAATTTTTTTTACACATAATTCCCTTTTCATTTGGAGCTCCCCTTTAAAAAAAAAACCCTGATCACAACCGTTATCTTAGAAAACCACAACCGTCGAATGACATCAACAATCTTCAGCTGTAATATCAATACTAGTATGACATCATTCCGACCTTACGTCACCTAAAGATTCAAATGACATGAACACTGCTGTGTGGATGGCGGAAACACTACACTGGTGCATGTGAAGTGATATTAACACTAGTGCACATAGGATTTCTGTGAACTCGGTTATTTCTAACCCTGTGGGTAATAAATACAGTCAAATTAATCCAACATGGTGGGTTGCACATTATTATGTTGGATTAGCAAGCTTCAATAATCAAAATTAAGAAGTATCAACATTCATGATCGAAAAACGAACAACTACATGAGAGATAATGAACAATACAAACACGCTGTAACAAAAAAATGAAAAATGAAATATTCATATTGTTATGTTATATTGTTGGCGGAATGTTTTCTAATCATGCAACCTCTAAAGCCGAACACAAAACTAATGTTACGGGTTGTATGACTGATTCAAAATAGTTTTGAAAGCATAGTCTGGAATGGAAGTCGCCAGTTTGAAACTAGGACTGCAAAGCTCAAGAAAGCTGCTTTCTTAGTGGCTAAGGCCGAGACTGATTAATGAGTGATTTCAGTATTTCATTGCAAGATAGGTGGGTCAGCGTGGGAGTGGGACTGTATGTTTAATCGCTTACCTTGTGCATGTTAGGTGTGTCGGCATCAGAGTGTGGCTACATGTATAATTGCCAATGTGACTGTATGTATAATCGCCTACCTTGTGCATCCCGCCGCTGCTGCTGCTGTCCGTGGTCCCACTGGTGGCTGTGGAGTTTATGGACGTCAAGGAACCTCTCCGGTCCATTCCAATTTCTTCCAGAGAGGCGGTGTCACTTTCCATATCCCTAGAAAAAAGCACATTCTCCAGTAACCGTGACACTTTTGTTGTCAGTGAAGGAAAGGAAGGGTTGAGACATCAAGAATACCTACCTGTCAGTATTGTACCAACAAATACACACACTGAGTGTCCATGATAAACCTTGCACACAAGTTGACTAGTCGGACACTAACTCTAACCCTTGCACACAACTTGACTAGTCTGACACTAACTCTAACCCTTGCACACAACTTGACTAGTCTGACACTTACTCTAACCCTTGCACACAACTTGACTAGTCTGACACTAACTCTAACCCTTGCACACAACTTGACTAGTCGGACACTAACTCTAACCCTTGCACACAACTTGACTAGTCTGACACTTACTCTAACCCTTGCACACAACTTGACTAGTCTGACACTAACTCTAACCCTTGCACACAACTTGACTAGTCGGACACTAACTTTAACCCTTGCACACAAGTTGACTAGTCGGACACTAACTCTAACCCTTGCACACAACTTGACTAGTCTGACACTAACTCTAACCCTTGCACACAACTTGACTAGTCGGACACTAACTCTAACCCTTGCACACAACTTGACTAGTCGGACACTTACTCTAACCCTTGCACACAACTTGACTAGTCTGACACTAACTCTAACCCTTGCAAACAACTTGACTAGGCTGACACTAACTCTAACCCTTGCACACAAGTTGACTAGTCTGACACTTACTCTAACCCTTGCACACAAGTTGACTAGTCTGACACTAACTCTAACCCTTGCACACAACTTGACTAGTCTGACACTAACTCTAACCCTTGCACACAAGTTGACTAGTCGGACACTAACTCTAACCCTTGCACACAAGTTGACTAGTCTGACACTAACTCTAACCCTTGCACACAACTTGACTAGTCGGACACTTACTCTAACCCTTGCACACAAGTTGACTAGTCTGACACTAACTCTAACCCTTGCACACAACTTGACTAGTCGGACACTAACTCTAACCCTTGCACACAAGTTGACTAGTCTCACACTAATTCTAACCCTTGCACACAACTTGACTAGTCTGACACTAACTCTAACCCTTGCACACAACTTGACTAGTCGGACACTAACTCTAACCCTTGCACACAAGTTGACTAGTCTGACACTAACTCTAACCCTTGCACACAACTTGACTAGTTTGACACTAACTCTAACCCTTGCACACAAGTTGACTAGTCTGACACTAACTCTAACCCTTGCACACAAGTTGACTAGTCGGACACTAACTCTAACCCTTGCACACAACTTGACTAGTCTGACACTAACTCTAACCTTGCACACAACTTGACTAGTCTGACACTAACTCTAACCCTTGCACACAAGTTGACTAGTCTCACACTAACTCTAACCCTTGCACACAACTTGACTAGTCGGACACTAACTCTAACCCTTGCACACAACTTGACTAGTCGGACACTAACTCTAACCCTTGCACACAACTTGACTAGTCTGACACTAACTCTAACCTTTGCACACAACTTGACTAGTCGGACACTAACTCTAACCCTTGCACACAACTTGACTAGTCGGACACTAACTCTAACCCTTGCACACAACTTGACTAGTCTGACACTAACTCTAACCCTTTCACACAAGTTGACTAGTCTGACACTAACTCTAACCCTTGCACACAACTTGACTAGTCGGACACTAACTCTAACCCTTGCACACAAGTTGACTAGTCGGACACTAACTCTAACCCTTGCACACAAGTTGACTAGTCGGACACTAACTCTAACCCTTGCACACAAGTTGACTAGTCGGACACTAACTCTAACCCTTGCACACAAGTTGACTAGTCGGACACTAACTCTAACCCTTGCACACAACTTGACTAGTCTGACACTAACTCTAACCCTTGCACACAACTTGACTAGTCGGACACTAACTCTAACCCTTGCACACAACTTGACTAGTCTGACACTAACTCTAACCCTTGCACACAACAGTAGACCTCTTCAAGAAACATGCAACCACATGAACAAGCTACATACCTGCTGACTCGGCTCCCGTAGAAGAGTTTCGGTGGTGGTTTGAACATGGTTGGTTGTTTGTCTTTGAGTGCATCATGCATGTACATCATACGCTCCTGAATGAGCTCCCGCATCTTCTTCACCCACTGCTGCTTGGTGTCCAGCGAGGAGGCCTACAAACACAAACATCCTTTACAGGAGGCCTACACACACAAACATCCTTTACAGGAGGCCTACACACACAAACATCCTTTACAGGAGGCCTACACACACAAACATCCTTTACAGGAGGCCTACACACACAAACATCCTTTACAGGAGGACTACACACACAAACATCCTTTACAGGAGGCCTACAAACACAAACATCCTTCACAGGAGGCCTACACACACAAACATCCTTTACAGGAGGACTACACACACAAACATCCTTTCCAGGAGGCCTAAACACACAAACATCCTTTACAGGAGGACTACACACACAAACATCCTTTACAGGAGGCCTACACACACAAACATCCTTTACAGGAGGCCTACAAACACAAACATCCTTTACAGGAGGCCTACACACACAAACATCCTTTACAGGAGGCCTACACACACAAACATCCTTTACAGGAGGCCTACACACACAAACATCCTTTACAGGAGGCCTACACACACAAACATCCTTTACAGGAGGCCTACACACACAAACATCCTTTACAGGAGGCCTAAACACAGAAACATCCTTTACAGGAGGCCTACACACACAAACATCCTTTACAGGAGGCCTACACACACAAACATCCTTTACAGGAGGCCTACAAACACAAACATCCTTTACAGGAGGCCTACAAACACAAACATCCTTTACAGGAGGCCTACACACACAAACATCCTTTACAGGAGGCCTACAAACACAAACATCCTTTACAGAGGCCTACAAACATAAACATCCTTTACAGGAGGACTACACACACAAACATCCTTTACAGGAGGCCTACAAACACAAACATCCTTTACAGGAGGACTACAAACACAAACATCCTTTACAGAGGAGGCCTACACACACAAACATCCTTTACAGGAGGCCTACAAACACAAACATCCTTTACAGGAGGCCTACAAACACAAACATCCTTTACAGAGGAGGCCTACAAACACAAATATCCTTTACAGGAGGCCTACAAACACAAACATCCTTTACAGAAGAGGCCTACAAACATAAACATCCTTTACAAAGAAGGCATACACATACAAACATCCTTTACAGAGAAGGCCTACACACACAAACATCTTTACAGAGGAGGCCGACAGTCACAAACATCCTTTACGGAAGAGGCCTACAAACATCCTTTACAGGGAAGCCGACAGACACAAACATCCTTTACAGAGGAGGCCTACAAACACACACATCCTTCATGGGTCACTACTGGGGCTACCAATAAGGTCACGATAGGGACCACCTTATACAACAGCCATTGCAGCCAAGATATCCCCACTTCAGTCATACTGGCAATAAGTGTGTGAGTGAGTATGGTTTTACGCCGCTGTTAGCAATATTCCAGTAATATCACAGTGGGAGACACCAGAAATGGGCTTCACACATTGTCCCCATGTCAGGAATCGTACTGCCAATGTTGATCATCTGAATATTATACAGATGAATAAGAGATTAGAAAAATTGTTGATATTATAAAGTTACCCTTGAGGAGAGACAATCATTGGTCATCCATGTGGACAGACAATCATTGGTCATCCTTGTGGACAGACAATCATTGGTCATCCTTGTAGGCAGACAATCATTGGTCATCCTAGTGGAAAGACAATCATTGGTCATCCTTGTGGACAGACAATCATTGTTCATCCTTGTGGGGAGACAATCATTGGTCATCCTTGATGACAGACAATAATTGGTTATCCTTGTGGAAAGACAATCATTGGTCATCCTTGTGGACAGACAATCATTGGTCATCCTTGTGGACAGACAATCATTGGTCATCCTTGTGGGGAGACAATCATTGGTCATCCTTGATGACAGACAATAATTGGTTATCCTTGTGGAAAGACAATCATTGGTCATCCTTGTGGACAGACAATCATTGGTCATCCTTGTGGACAGACAATCATTGGTCATCCTTGTGGGGAGACAATCATTGGTCATCCTAGTGGACAGACAATCATTGGTCATCCTTGTGGACAGACAATCATTGGTCATCCTTGTGGGGAGACAATCATTGGTTATCTTTTTGGACGGACAATCATTGGTCATCCTTGTGGGGAGACATTAATTGGTCATCCTTGTGGACAGACAATCGTTGGTCATCCTTGTGGACAGACAATCATTGGTCATCCTTGTGGACAGACAATCATTGGTCAGTCGTTTGAAAGACAATCATTGGTCATCCTTGTAGACAGACAATCATTGGTCATCCTTGTGGACAGACAATCATTGGTCATCCTTGTGGAAAGACAATCATTGGTCATCCTTGTGGACAGACAATCATTGGTCATCCTTGTGGACAGACAATCATTGGTCATCCTTGTGGGGAGACACTCAATGGTCATCCTTGTGGACAGACAATCATTGGTTATCCTTGTGGAAAGACAATTATTGGTCATCCTTGTGGACAGACAATCATTGGTCATCCTTGTGGACAGACACTCATTGGTCATCCTTGTGGAAAGACAATCATTGGTTATCCTTGTGGAAAGACAATTATTGGTTATCCTTGTGGGGAGACAATCATTGGTTATCCTTGTGGAAAGACAATCATTGGTTATCCTTGTGGAAAGACAATCATTGGTTATCCTTGTGGAAAGACAATTATTGGTTATCCTTGTGGACAGACAATCATTGGTCATCCTTGTGGACAGACAATCATTGGTACTTGTTATACTATGCAATCCAACAGACAATCTCCAAAGAATAGTATGCTGTGGACAAGGGTTGGTTTGACATCCCATTAACAAGATGCTACCTTAAGTATTATTCTGTAGTCTGAGATGGGCGCTCTACCGGTCCACAGGGCAAACTTGGTTTCATCTCCCTCTATGTGCTCCGTTACATTAACTTCTGAGATCTGAAAACAACACAACCAAAATAAGCAACCAATATTGAGTGAGTGAATGTGCGAGTGAGTTTGGTTTTACGCTGCTTTAAGCAATATTTCAGCAGTATCACGGCGGGAGAACCAAAAATGGGTTTTACACATGGTACCCATGTTTGGAATAGAACCTGGGTCTTTGGTTTGACGAGTGAACCCTTGACCACCAGGTTACCCCCCAGCCCCACAACCAATATAGGGCATAACCCCTCAGAATAAACCAGAATAAACACACCCCATAGAAGTAACACATTCAGAGACTAAAAACAATTCAATTGTGTGACTGAATGATATATTTCTACTTACTCCTAGCTGTCTACAATACCTCCTGCCCATACAATATTTTTTTAATTAGAACCTAAAAGAGGCTTTTGGCAAAGCCGAACATGCATTCAACATTGAATTTGGTGAAAGACTTTTAACAAAATGACATGAAATTCAAGGTCAGGCATTGGGTACTCACCATTAGTTTAAATTTATACATATATTTGGATTTGCCAGTGCTGTCTTTAACCTCCTTGGCAAAAATGAGACAGACGTCGAAGAGGAAGATGTGTCGCTCGCGGCCCTTCTTGATGAGCTGCTTGGGGTCCCACACGGTGAAGTTGTCCTGCAGTAACACCTCCCCCAGCGCCTCCAGGCTCTCCTCCACCCCCTCCAACATGCTCAGGTGCATCGCGTCATTGGCCTTCTTCGGCACATTCAGCATCACATCGAGCCCATCCTGGGGACACAGAGGAGAAATGGTTTCACAGATGATTAGACAGAGATGGTCAGACGGAGAAGAGATGGTTAGACAGATTGTTAGACAGTGGAGACTTGGTTAGACAGAGGAATGATGTTGGTATGTGTCCCACCTTTATTTCGCCGGTGTGTTCCTCGCAGCAGGTCAGCAGGTCCTTGAGGAGCAGCTGGTACTTGGTAATGCGCTGCACCGGCTTGATGAGGAAGGAGGCCACGGGGTCATTCAGTTTGTGCTTGCTCTGCATCTCCTGCAACAGTATCAAGGATGTGACAGGGCATATCATACAGAGTGACTGAGTGATGCCGTAGTCACGGTACCCCGCTGTGTCACGGCAGCCTGTTGACAAGTCTACACAAACAAGTTATTGAAAGCAACGACCTATGTCATGAGGGCATGATGACTTGCAGCCTGCAGCCACACATTCTGACCATCCGATCCACTCTGGGGATTCTTTATGATATTTATAGTTATAATAACTCTGATGGCTGACTCCATCCTAAATCCCAAGAAGCTAAAGCAAATTGTTGCAGACACAAACGGTGGTGTGTAAATAATCAAGTCTGGACAAGACAATCCAATGATTGATATCATGTGCATCGATCCATGCAATTGGGATATGATGACATGCATCAACCAAGTCAGCAAGTCTGACCACCCGAGCCCTTTATTTGCCACATACGACAAGCATTAGTACATTGTTGTAGACCTATTCTAACCTGGATCTTCACGGGGAGAGTTCCTCATGGAATTAGTGCCATCCGGAACAAATATTGCCAGTGTCAATGTACCGTGGAAGTATTTCTGGGTAAAAACTGTTCCCTGGGAATAATTTCCATAGAGAAATATAGTACAAAGGAACAATTTCCCTAGAGGAACAGATACTCTTAAACACAAGTTCCTGATGTCACCTGTCCCCCAGTAGGGAACTAACTATTCTCCAACAGGTCTGTGTCTCCTGTTACTGGAGAAATATACACACTGTTGATAGTTACTGCCACCAGCTGAGATACAGAGAGATGGGTGTGACCCCTGATACTCACTGAGGGAGTACTGAGTGTGAGGGTCCTGTCACTGACTGTACTGAGGGAATACTGAGTGGGAGGGGGAGAGAGGGTCCTGTCACTGACTGTACTGAGTGGGAGGAGGGAGAGGGTCCTGTCACTGACTGTACTGAGGGAATACTGAGTGGGAGGGGGAGAGAGGGTCCTGTCACTGACTGTACTGAGTGGGAGGGGGAGAGAGGGTCCTGTCACTGACTGTACTGAGGGAATAGTGAGTGGGAGGAGGGAGAGGGTCCTGTCACTGCTTGTACTGAGGGAATACTGAGTGGGAGGAGGGAGAGGGTCCTGTCACTGACTGTACTGAGGGAATACTGAGTGGGAGGGGGAGAGAGGGTTCCATCACTGACTGTACTGGGGGAATACTGAGTGGGAGGGGGAGAGAGGGTCCTGTCACTGACTGTACTGAGTGGGAGCAGGGAGAGGGTCCTGTCACTGCTTGTACTGAGGGAATACTGAGTGGGAGGGGGAGAGAGGGTCCTGTCACTGACTGTACTGAGTGGGAGGGGGAGAGAGGGTCCTGTCACTGACTGTACTGAGGGAATACTGAGTGGGAGGAGGGAGAGGGTCCTGTCACTGCTTGTACTGAGGGAATACTGAGTGGGAGGGGGAGAGAGGGTCCTGTCACTGACTGTACTGAGTGGGAGGGGGAGAGAGGGTCCTGTCACTGACTGTACTGAGGGAATACTGAGTGGGAGGAGGGAGAGGGTCCTGTCACTGACTGTACTGAGGGAATACTGAGTTCGAGGGTCCTGTCACTGACTGTACTGAGGGAGTACTGAATGGGAGGGGGAGAGAGGGTTCTGTCACTGACTGTACTGAGGGAATACTGAGTGGGAGCAGGGAGAGAGGGTTCCGTCACTGACTGTACTGAGGGAATACTGAGTGGGAGGAGAAAGAGGGTCCTGTCACTGACTGTACTGAGGGAATACTGAGTGGGAGGGGGAGAGAGGGTTCTGTCACTGACTGTACTGAGGGAATACTGAGTGAGAGGGAGAGAGAGGGTTCTGTCACTGACTGTACTGAGGGAATACTGAGTGGGAGCAGGGAGAGAGGGTTCCGTCACTGACTGTACTCAGGGAATACTGAGTGGGAGGAGGGAAAGAGGGTCCTGTCACTGACTGTACTGAGGGAATACTGAGTGGGAGCAGGGAGAGAGGGTTCCGTCACTGACTGTACTGAGGGAATACTGAGTGGGAGGAGGGAAAGAGGGTCCTGTCACTGACTGTACTGAGGGAATACTGAGTGGGAGCAGGGAGAGAGGGTTCCGTCACTGACTGTACTGAGGGAATACTGAGTGGGAGGAGGGAAAGAGGGTCCTGTCACTGACTGTACTGAGGGAATACTGAGTGGGAGGGGGAGAGAGGGTTCTGTCACTGACTGTACTGAGGGAATACTGAGTGAGAGGGAGAGAGAGGGTTCTGTCACTGACTGTACTGAGGGAATACTGAGTGGGAGCAGGGAGAGAGGGTTCCGTCACTGACTGTACTGAGGGAATACTGAGTGGGAGGAGGGAAAGAGGGTCCTGTCACTGACTGTACTGAGGGAATACTGAGTGGGAGCAGGGAGAGAGGGTTCCGTCACTGACTGTACTGAGGGAATACTGAGTGGGAGGAGGGAAAGAGGGTCCTGTCACTGACTGTACTGAGGGAATACTGAGTGGGAGCAGGGAGAGAGGGTTCCGTCACTGACTGTACTGAGGGAATACTGAGTGGGAGGAGGGAAAGAGGGTTCTGTCACTGTCTGCACTGAGGGAATACTGAGTGGGAGGGGGGAGAGAGGGTCCTGTCACTGACTGCACTGAGGGAATACTGAGTGGGAGGGAAAGAGGGTTCTGTCACTGGCTGTACTGAGAGAATACTGAGTGGGAGGGAAAGAGGGTTCTGTTACTGGCTGTACTGAGAGAATACTGAGTGGGAGGAGGGAGAGGGTCCCGTCACTGACTGTACTGAGAGAATACTGAGTGGGAGGAGGAGAGAGGGTCCTGTCACGGACTGTACTGAGGGAATACTGAGTGGGAGTGGTATTGCCGTATAAAATGAATGTGCTGTGCATTAGTCATCACTACCGACGTGGCGGAGCTGCAGTGTGTTAAATCTGACACTGAGATCCACTCACTCATCGGTAACACAAGAGTTGTAATTCCAGGCCCAATTCAGCTGCTGTCTTACCTCAAAGAAGTTGCCAGCTTGGTCCACTAACAAGGCGTTGGAATCGGGTTTGTTTTTACAGTAGGTCACATAAATAGAGAACTTCTCAGCCTGGAACAAGAACAACAAAATATACACATGTAAATAGTCCAAACACATACTGCATAAAGGAGACAAAAAACATTGTGTCTGTTTCTGCAATACACATAAGAAATCTTCTTCACTTTGATAGTATTATACAGAAAAACTGCAAGTGGAGGGGAGATAACTCCATGCACACTTGTCACTATTAACAGTGTGTATTGATTTGAGAGGCTGGAATGACAAGTCAGGTTTAACCTGACAAGACGTAGACCTGACATGAATCTGTATGAGTGTATAGAACACAACAACAGTTTTACTGAACATCCAGAATAAAAGACACCATTTAAGTTTCATTTCAACTTGCAAAACTCACCCATGTGACAAAGCAATGGCCGACATCTTCTGGAATTGTTTCGTATTTTTCTAATTCTTTTAAAAATATGCTGCAAGAGAGAGAATAGGATTAAATTGAAATCATGTCACAATTACAATAGGTATAAGACTTCCAATATGGAGGAGCACAGTGTCTGGTTACAGGCTGTGAGATTCTGACATCGGACATTCATCATTCTACTTACCTTTTATGGAATTCATAGATTTCATCCAGATTTCCGAATATAACTTTCTGTTTTCCCTGGATCCCTGGTGGTGCGTTGTTGCTGGGGTCGTCCATCACATACATGTAGCACTAAAGAAAGAAGAGGACATCAGTCGGGGGCAAAACAGGGTCATGGGGCACACACCTGGGCCCACTTGCACAAAGCGATCTTAGCGCTAAGATGATTGTAACTCCCATACTTTAACATAGGCTTACAATAGTGGTAGTGCTAAGATCGCTTTGTGCAAGTGGGCCCAGGTCAAAGTTCAAGAAGAACCATTCACAACACTCATATCAGTAACTGCAAAACTCTTGGCTGTGAGGTGTGCACACAGCATTGGACCCAGTGAGTGAGTGTTGGGCCTGAACCCTCAGTGTCGCAGCACTATCATGGTGGCTCTATCTGGATCAGGCCAACTGATGACTAAAGCACGAGCAGCACAGTGACGTCCAATGAGTCAAGTCTTCAGTCGGCCCATGCTATCAATGCCCAATGGGTCGTCTTCAGGCAGCTGTTACTACTAGAAACTCCGACAACTTCCACAGACATAGGTCCTAACTCATACAAGGGAACAAACAAAGCAGCTGCTGTTCTACTGACGTACCTTCAGACATGTCTCCAGGTCCTTGACGTACGTTCTCTCCGTCTGCAGCAGTTCCGCCATGATGAACCTGCAGAGGGACAACATCAGTGTTGATAACCTTTTGTAAAAACTATGTCAAGTAAAATCTACACTTCAGGAGATGCACATCCTGACTATAGACAGCTCTAAACACTTGAGGGGAGAGAGACAGAGACGGAGAGAGGGAGAGAGAAAGACTCTCGGCCACCAAGTAAATGTGCCACTAACTCTCTGCGGCGGGCGGACTTCCTCTTCTCCTCTGTCAGCTCCTTGGGCGTGCCCTTCTGGAGCTTCTCCTCAATGGATCCGTCACTCTGCCGCTGCTCACGCTGGTCGTCCTTGTCTGTCTGCTCCGGCTGAAATCAGGCAAAAAGCCCAGGATCAACTGACTACTGGGTTCATACATAGTCTACTTGCTATTTTATTGCAAACGCTAACGCAGAATTCAAGAAATATAAGCCTTTCAACAACCTAAAATTGCAAGGAAATGTAAAGGAGCTCTTGCACAAAGATACCAGTTCCCGAACAGCAGAGGCACACCTGGACCTCGCTACAGAAGCCATCACAGATCTACTACAGTTGTTAGTCTATGTTCAGCATCAGCAGCAGGACGAAAAGGGTACAGGATTATTCTGCAGCTGTGTGTCGGCAATGCTCACCTCCTTCTCCGTGACTCCCAACTTGCTCTCCAGCTGAAGCCTATATTTCTCCATGCGAGACGAGAAATCCTTGTACCGCTTGTCCACGGCGGCGCACCACTGCATGATGCTTGTGGCATGGATGTTGCCCTTCGCCACGAAACCGTCTGCCAGCTGCAGCAACAGCTTTACATTCTCCTTAGTCTCCTGAGCAACAGCAACAAAGCAGGTGAGAAAACATCATCATGATGATAAAATACTTCATCAATCATTATGAATTAATGGTCATGTCACACTCTCTTCTTGTTGCCTATTCCTTGGATTCAGAAATGTAGCTCATCTTACAAGTCAAAGTCAAATCTGTTGTTGCTGGAGAATTCAGAAAAAGTGACAATTTTTCGGCAGAAAGAAAGAACCTGAGGCTCTTGTACACCCCCTGAAATATTGCTGCATATCTCCTTTCCTGTATCTCATCCATCCTCCTCTACATGGCGTGACCAGTCCGGGATATCTACCTTTGCTCTGTTGCGGAAGTCGTAGTGCTCCTTCAGTAGTCCCTCTGTCTCCTGCTTGTTGGCCCCGAGGTGGGTGTGGGAGTTGAGGTATGCCTCGCCGTAGTCGTGGATCCACTCCAGCGCCTAACACAAAACAATCATATCATCAGACTACACCACAATCAGACATCAAACTCACACTCAGGACAATAACTGACTTGTGTCAAAATTAATGATTTACTCTTAAAATGACATAAAGTGTACAAAATAACATTCAGTCCTCCATGACACAGTAGTAAAAATAGAGAAATCACTGCAGGTGTATGAGAGCTTCTACCTGCTTGGCACTCTGCTCAAACAGCACAAACTGGTCTATGGACTACAGTCACTGCACATGTATGAGAGCTTCTACCTGCTTGGCGCTGTGCTCAAACAGCACAAACTGGTATATGGACTACAGTCACTGCACGTGTATGAGAGCTTCTACCTGCTTGGCGCTCTGCTCAAACAGCACAAACTGTTCTATGGACTACAGTCACTGCACGTGTATGAGAGCTCCTACCTGCTTGGCGCTCTGCTCAAACAGCACAAACTGTTCTACGGACTACAGTCACTGCACGTGTATGAGAGCTTCTACCTGCTTGGGGCTCTGCTCAAACAGCACAAACTGTTCTATGGACTACAGTCACTGCAGGTGTATGAGAGCTTCTACCTGCTTGGCGCTCTGCTCAAACATCACAAACTGTTCTATGGACTACAGTCACTGCACGTGTATGAGAGCTCCTACCTGCTTGGCGCTCTGCTCAAACAGCACAAACTGGTATATGGACTACAGTCACTGCACGTGTATGAGAGCTTCTACCTGCTTGGCGCTCTGCTCAAACAGCACAAACTGTTCTATGGACTACAGTCACTGCACGTGTATGAGAGGTCCTACCTGCTTGGCGCTCTGCTCAAACAGCACAAACTGGTATATGGACTACAGTCACTGCACGTGTATGAGAGCTCCTACCTGCTTGGCGCTCTGCTCAAACAGCACAAACTGGTATATGGACTACAGTCACTGCACATGTATGAGAGCTTCTACCTGCTTGGCGCTCTGCTCAAACAGCACAAACTGTTCTATGGACTACAGTCACTGCACGTGTATGAGAGCTTCTACCTGCTTGGCGCTCTGCTCAAACAGCACAAACTGTTCTATGGACTACAGTCACTGCACGTGTATGAGAGCTTCTACCTGCTTGGCGCTCTGCTCAAACAGCACAAACTGTTCTATGGACTACAGTCACTGCACGTGTATGAGAGGTCCTACCTGCTTGGCGCTCTGCTCAAACAGCACAAACTGGTATATGGACTACAGTCACTGCACGTGTATGAGAGCTCCTACCTGCTTGGCGCTCTGCTCAAACAGCACAAACTGCTGGCACTGTTCCAGCTTCCTCTTCTTGTACGTCCAGAACTCGATGACGATGTTCTCCTGCTGAAGCAGCTGGTCCAGGGTAGCTGCAAACAAACAACATCTTGTACAACAACATCGTGAACAACAACATGTACAACATTGTTGAGGACAGATTTTTGTACAATCACAATGTACACAAGCATAACAAGTATGCTGCATACAGCATCATGTCCAGCTACATCTTGAACATCCTGAACAGGAGATGTTACGGAATCAGATTCCACGCTGTGAAGTGTGTCACGTTTATTGCTGTCCTTACCCTTGACGTGGCCCTCCGGACTGCGGAACTTCATCTCCATGCCGAGGAAGTGGAGGTTTCTGTTGACGTACTTGAGGAACGTCTCGGCTGTCCGCCGCGCCAGGGTGCAGGCCTGGAACATGGGTACAACACACGTCAGCTGGTGAGAATCTGGTCACATAGTTTATTTTAAAAATCCGTTTTTAGTAGCCAGTGCCATATTTGAGATATCTGCAACACGAATGCCCTGATTACTGCTGTGTGACACCTGCACGTACCTTGAGGAAGGCCTCCTTCTGCTCGTTATGCTTGTTGATGAGCTGCACCAGGTACGCCACCTTGTCCGCGATGTGCGCCTTATCAGAACTACACCAGTCCTCGTCCCGCTTGTAGTCTCGGTCCAAAGACTCCAGCACTGACCAAACCTTCACACAAGATAGAGGTGGACATATTTCTCTATACACAAGACAGTGGTGGACATATTTCTCTATACACAAGACAGAGGTGGACATATTTCTCTATACACAAGACAGTGGTGGATATATTTCTCTATACACAAGACAGAGGTGGACATATTTCTCTATACACAAGAGAGAGCTGGCCATATGTCTCTACACATTAGAGAGAGGTGCACATATTTCTCTACACATGACATTAATAATGCCCTTTCCAAATAGAAATCCATCGAATTCTTGTGAATTATATATACCATCTTGATGCTGTGAAACATTGAATTACTATCCCATATAACCAGTAGCCCTGTAAGTCCCACACTGATGGTGATGGGTATTAGCCTGACAGACTGTCACATGTAAGTCAGTATTTCTTATCTGTAATTTATTATGAACCTCAAAATAAAAATTGCCCACTACATCAGATTTCCTCAGCACATATTTGATATCTTCATAGTTGTCCGCCAGTTGCTTGGATGATGCTATGGTCACAACACAGTTGTAAAATACCTTATACAGGAACCTGGTCGCAAATACATATTCGCTTTTTCAATCATAGGAACTAGTCACTAATTTCTGAATTTCAAAATTTCAATCAAATTCTTTGCCAACAAAATGAAAAAAAGTATGACTTTGAAAGGTGCAATATACCGGTATCTTCCAAATGTACTGTGATGCATACTGATCGGTATTTCAAATTGTACTATACCAGTAATACTGTGTACCTGTACATCTCCTCAACAGTGGCCTACCTGTTCAGCAGTCTTGTACCAGTTCATCGATGCCATCACCAGTTTGTGCCTCTCTTCTGCATGGTACATAAGTTGTTGCCATGCCAACGTGACATTTTCAGCAATAGCTCGCACGAGTTCGGAGTTGTAGTGTTGCCCTTGTATCATGGCCTCCGCCTTCTGGGTGACCTGCACCACACTGATGTGGGTTTTCTACAACACGAAATAACACGTCACCCTCCTACTGCTGAACTGTCTCGAACATGAAGAGGTGAAAACCACCTGTAGGTTAAAACACCTGGATGAAATTTCAGCAAAAATAAAAGTGTCCATTCTCTAAACAATGTTTGCATCTGAAAACCATTAACTTTCATAAAAGGAAACATTGTAAAACCAAAGGTAGAAACAAGAAAAAGACGTGTACAAACTGACATTTGTGCGACTGTTACTAAACACCACTCATAAATGGTTTGTGTCTCACCTCGATGGCCATCATGAAAGGTTTGTGTCTCACCTCGATGGCCATCATGAAAGGTTTGTGTCTCAAGTCGATGGCCATCATGAAAGGTTTGTGTCTCAAGTCGATGGCCATCATGAAAGGTTTGTCTCACATCGATGGCCATCATGAATGGTTTGTGTCTCACCTCGATGGCCATCATGAAAGGTTTGTGTCTCACCTCGATGGCCATCATGAAAGGTTTGTCTCACATCGATGGCCATCATGAATGGTTTGTGTCTCACCTCGATGGCCATCATGAAAGGTTTGTGTCTCACCTCGATGGCCATCATGAAAGGTTTGTGTCTCACCTCGATGGCCATCATGAAAGGTTTGTCTCACATCGATGGCCATCATGAATGGTTTGTGTCTCACCTCGATGGCCATCATGAAAGGTTTGTGTCTCACCTCGATGGCCATCATGAAAGGTTTGTGTCTCACCTCGATGGCCATCATGAAAGGTTTGTGTCTCACCTCGATGGCCATCATGAAAGGTTTGTCTCACATCGATGGCCATTATGAAAGATTTATGTCTCCCCTCGATGGCCATCATGAAAGGTTTGTGTCTCACCTCGATGGCCATCATGAAAGGTTTGTTTCTCAAGTCGATGGCTATCATGAAAGTGAGTGAGTGAGTTGGGTTTAACGCCGCTTTTAACAGTATTCCAGTTATATCACGGCGTGTCAGCTTAATGTGGGAGGAAAGCCCGAAGTGCTGCAGGTCTCAGACGTTTACCACTTCGGTGAAACCCACGAGCACGGGTATGGTGCTGACAAACCTAGAAACATAATCGGGGCGAACCGGGATTCGAACCCACAATCATAGGTTTCTGGCGTGCCCAAGGGACGCAACTCTGCACAGCGAATCGCGGCGCCTTAGACGACTGGGCCACCCGTGCCCCCCTATCATGAAAGGTTTGTGTCTCACCTCGATGGCCATCATGAACTGTTCGTGCTCCTTCTTCAGCTGCTCTGCCTCCAGCAGGGAGTTGGGGCACATGAAGCTGGCCGTCAGCATCGACTCCCCATTCCGCACCCAGCAGATCACCTGCAACACAGATAGAGGGGAGATAACTCTTATGCCAATAACGTCACCAGACAAAAGCAAAACAGGCCCTTATTTAAGATGGGAGTCTGGCGGTCGGCATTAAGGGGCTAAAACAAGGACTGGTCAGCTCGGAGCCAGTAGACTGTGTCTGAGTGGGGTATTCATATTAAACCGTGCCATGGTATCTAAGTGGGCTAGCACTATAAATCGGTATGAGTCGGGACTAGTACAAGCAGCCACACACACACAAGTGCAAGCACGTCGCTATATCAGTGCAATAATCTTGGATGCAACGTTAAACCCCATTTCACCTCACCTTATTGAAGATGGGAAATAACTCTAATGCTAATCTGTACAAACATTGTCAATACACATGACCCAGCTCATGAACTAATGTTATTTAACAGGGTTAGAAATTGGCACTAGTCCTGTAGTCCTTGCCAAACTGCCCAATAGTTAAGGTATCATAAGGAGTAGTAGAAATATGCCAATTTTAAGTGTTTTGCTATTTGTTATCATTATAAGTAAGGACTAGTGGAGTAAAAATGTTAGTTTCTACCGCTGTTTAAGAATCTGAATATTTTGTCTATGGACTTGTGATAAGGGCACGAACTGAGATAAGAAAGGCATGTGTTATTGTACTGAAACTACATGAATAAATATAGCCCTTTATACCCAACTTTCGGAAATAGATACAGCCCGTTATACCCACTGCTTGTCATGAATATAGCCTATTATAATTATTCATGATTTAAGGAATGTCCTTGCAATTGTCTTATGTTCAATTCAGTTACTTTGTTAGACTTCCCGAGTTCAATAACAAAGGAAACTTGATGTTACTGGACTAAACTATTTCTTCACAACCATTATTACACCCATAATGTATCTACAACCAAAACTTATTCAGCTGAAATATTTCAAGTTCAATATATTTTATTAGCCTATGAAACAAGGGACAGTCCCCAACACAGTTCCAAATAAAGTTTGTTTGGTGTAGTTTACCTGTCTAGCTTCAATCTCGAAGTTGCGGAGGAGGACACACTGCTCGAGTCTGATGCGCTTCTGTTCTGCCAGTGTCTCAAGGTCCATCTCTCGCTCGTGCAGGTACTCCAGCAACACCTGGATGCGTGTCTGGGCATCGTACTGAGAGTCTGACATCAGCTGCACGCCCGAACTCTCCGTCAACTACACAACAGAAGGGGGGTGATCAAACCATCACAACAGACAGGGGATCACCCAACCATCACAACAGACAGGGGATCATCCAACCATCACAACAGACAGGGGATCATCCAACCATCACAACAGACGGGGGATCATCCAACCATCACAACAGACGGGGGATCATCCAACCATCACAACAGACAGGGGATCATCAAACCATCACAACAGACAGGGGATCATCCAACCATCACAACAGATGGGGGATCATCCAACCATCACAACAGACAGGGGATCACCCAACCATCACAACAGACAGGGGATCACCCAACCATCACAACAGACAGGGGATCATCCAACCATCACAACAGACAGGGGATCATCAAACCATCACAACAGACAGGGGATCATCCAACCATCACAACAGACAGGGGATCATCCAACCATCACAACAGATGGGGGATCATCCAACCATCACAACAGACAGGGGATCATCCAACCATCACAACAGATGGGGGATCATCCAACCATCACAACAGACAGGGGATCATCCAACCATCACAACAGATGGGGGATCATCCAACCATCACAACAGACAGGGGATCACCCAACCATCACAACAGATGGGGGATCATCAAACCATCACAACAGACAGGGGATCATCCAACCATCACAACAGATGGGGGATCATCCAACCATCACAACAGACAGGGGATCATCCAACCATCACAACAGATGGGGGATCATCCAACCATCACAACAGACAGGGGATCACCCAACCATCACAACAGACAGGGGATCATCCAAACATCACAACAGACAGGGGATCATCCAACCATCACAACAGATGGGGGATCATCAAACCATCACAACAGACAGGGGATCATCCAACCATCACAACAGATGGGGGATCATCCAACCATCACAACAGACAGGGGATCACCCAACCATCACAACAGACAGGGGATCATCCAAACATCACAACAGATGGGGGATCATCAAACCATCACAACAGACAGGGGATCATCCAACCATCACAACAGATGGGGGATCATCCAACCATCACAACAGACAGGGGATCATCCAACCATCACAACAGATGGGGGATCATCCAACCATCACAACAGACAGGGGATCACCCAACCATCACAACAGACAGGGGATCATCCAAACATCACAACAGACAGGGGATCATCCAACCATCACAACAGATGGGGGATCATCAAACCATCACAACAGACAGGGGATCATCCAACCATCACAACAGACGGGGGATCATCAAACCATCACAACAGACAGGGGATCATCAAACCATCACAACAGACAGGGGATCATCCAACCATCACAACAGATGGGGGATCATCAAACCATCACAACAGACAGGGGATCATCTAACCATCACAGCAGACAGGGGATCATCCAACCATCACAACAGATGGGGGATCATCAAACCATCACAACAGACAGGGGATCATCTAACCATCACAACAGATGGGGGATCATCCAACCATCACAACAGACAGGGGATCACCCAACCATCACAACAGACAGGGGATCATCCAAACATCACAACAGACAGGGGATCATCCAACCATCACAACAGATGGGGGATCATCAAACCATCACAACAGACAGGGGATCATCCAACCATCACAACAGATGGGGGATCATCCAACCATCACAACAGACAGGGGATCACCCAACCATCACAACAGACAGGGGATCATCCAAACATCACAACAGATGGGGGATCATCAAACCATCACAACAGACAGGGGATCATCCAACCATCACAACAGATGGGGGATCATCCAACCATCACAACAGACAGGGGATCATCCAACCATCACAACAGATGGGGGATCATCCAACCATCACAACAGACAGGGGATCACCCAACCATCACAACAGACAGGGGATCATCCAACCATCACAACAGACGGGGGATCATCAAACCATCACAACAGACAGGGGATCATCAAACCATCACAACAGACAGGGGATCATCCAACCATCACAACAGATGGGGGATCATCCAACCATCACAACAGACAGGGGATCACCCAACCATCACAACAGACAGGGGATCACCCAACCATCACAACAGATGGGGGATCATCCAACCATCACAACAGACGGGGGATCATCCAACCATCACAACAGACGGGGGATCATCCAACCATCACAACAGACGGGGGATCATCCAACCATCACAACAGACAGGGGATCATCCAACCATCACAACAGACAGGGGATCATCCAACCATCACAACAGGGGAATGACGTGTGTACATGTCTTGAGATCTGACACATTTATTGTGATCACCGAAACTCTAACAAAGTCAGGATATCATAGCATGGCTACCTGTGTCCATTCAACACAGATTCAACATAAGTGACATATCACTATAATCAATGTTTCATTCATGAGTATAAATTGAACTACGCCTTTGGTGGTCAATCTGCACCTCTCACCTGACAGAGCTCCTGTCCTCGCTGCAGCACCTCGAAGGTGCAGTTCTGCATGTGCAGGACGCTGTCGCTGTGCATCTGCAGTAGCTGCTCTGCCTTGCTGCCGTCTGTCACCATCTCCATGTGCTGCAGCTCCTCCGACCACAGCTCCAACTGCGACGACACCTGAGGAAGAAACGCATCAATTTGATTAAGGGGCAAGTGCCATCAAACTGGATGCCATACTTCAAGACCATGCTATTGATCTGTAGTTTGTGTCTTTCCAAATTTGACTTTGCATAGTGACTATCCGCATACAGTTTTGGAAAATCCTTGTATAAACTGTTAGGAAGACCATAAAAAAACAGAAAGAAGTTAAATGGTATCATGCATTGTATCCTCAAGTTCAACATTGTGGTTCATTAACTTTAGACCCGAAAAGATCAAGGTAGAGAATAGGTCTTTAGCAACCCATGCTTGCCGTAACAGGCGACTATGCTTGTCGTAAGAGGCAACTAACGGGATCGGGTGGTCAGGCTCGCTGACTTGGTTGATGCATGTCATCAATCCCAATTGAATGGATCAATGCTTATGATGTCAATCACTGGATCATCTGGTCCACACTCGATTATTTACAGACTGCCTCCATAGAGCTGGAATTCTGCTGAGTCCGGCATGAAACAACAAACAAACAAACATTAACTTTAGCTGCCATACCTCTAGGGCATCTCTCTCAAAGACGCGCAGCTGAAGACACAAGTCCAGTTTCATTTTCCGTGCCGCCCATAGCTCTTCAAGCTGACTCCGACTCTCATTCAGTTGGTGCAGCACACCTGAAACACAACACTCCAGCATGAGTACAACACAACACTTTATCATGAGTACAACACAACACTACAGCTTGAGTACAACACAACACTCCAGCTTGAGTACAACACAACACTCCAGCTTGAGTACAACACAACACTCCAGCTTGAGTACAACACAACACTCAAGCTTGAGTACAACACAACACTCCAGCTTGAGTACAACACAACACTCAAGCTTGAGTACAACACAACACTCAAGCTTGAGTACAACACAACACTCCAGCTTGAGTACAACACAACACTCCAGCTCGAGTACAACTCAACACTCCAGCTTGTGTACAACACAGCACTCCAGCACGAGTACAACACTCCAGCATGAGTACAACACAACACTTCATCGTGAGTACAACACAACACTCCAGCATGAGTACAACACAACACTCAAGCATGAGTTTGTCCACTGATACAATGTACTATATCCTCACTGAACTTGGGTACCAGTTTGGCCCTGATGAAAGGTAACAGTATACTTGCCCCTGAATGATACAGTGATGGGGGAGCATACTATCAACTGTTACACTACAGGTGGTGTCTCAGTATACAGTACACACAGAGTATATACTACAGGTGATATCTCAGTATACAGTACACAAAGAGTATATACTACAGGTGGTGTCTCAGTATACAGTACACACAGTGTATATACTACAGGTGGTGTCTCAGTATACACTACACACAGTGTATATACTACAGGTGGTGTCTCAGTATACACTACACACAGAGTATATACTGCAGGTGATATCTCAGTTTACACTACACACAGTGTATATACTACAGGTGGTGTCTCAGTATACACTACACACAGTGTATATACTACAGGTGATATCTCAGTATACACTACACACAGAGTATATACTACAGGTGATATCTCAGTATACAGTACACAAAGAGTATACACTACAGGTGATATCTCAGTATACACTACACACAGAGTATATACTACAGGTGATATCTCAGTATACAGTACACAAAGAGTACATACTACAGGTGGTGTCTCAGTATACAGTACACACAGTGTATATACTACAGGTGGTGTCTCAGTATACACTACACACAGTGTATATACTACAGGTGGTGTCTCACTATACACTACACACAGAGTATATACTACAGTTGATATCTCAGTTTACACTACACACAGTGTATATACTACAGGTGGTGTCTCAGTATACACTGCACACAGTGTACATACTACAGGTGATATCTCGGTATACACTACACACAGTGTATATACTACAGGTGATATCTCAGTATACACTACACACAGAGTATATACTACAGGTGATATCTCAGTATACACTACACACAGAGTATATACTACAGGTGATATCTCAATATACATGACAGGTGATATCTCAGTATACACTACACACAGTGTATATACTACAGGTGGTGTCTCAGTATACACTACACACAGTGTATATACTACAGGTGATATCTCAGTATACACTACACACAGTGTATATACTCACGGTGATATCTCAGTATACACTACACACAGTGTATATACTACAGGTGGTGTCTCAGTGTACACTACACACAGTGTATATACTACAGGTGGTGTCTCAGTGTACACTACACACAGTGTATATACTACAGGTGATATCTCAGTATACACTACACACAGTGTATATACTACAGGTGGTGTCTCAGTATACAGTACACAAAGAGTATACACTACAGGTGATATCTCAATATACATGACAGGTGATATCTCAGTATACACTACACACAGAGTATATACTACAGGTGATATCTCAGTATACACTACACACAGTGTATATACTACAGGTGATATCTCAGTATACACTACACACAGAGTATATACTACAGGTGATATCTCAATATACACTACACACAGTGTATATACTACAGGTGATATCTCAGTATACACTACACACAGTGTATATACTACAAGTGATATCTCAGTATACACTACACACAGTGTATATACTACAGGTGATATCCCAGTATACACTACACACAGTGTATATACTACAGGTGATATCTCAGTATACATGACAGGTGGTGTCTCAGTATACACTACACACAGTGTATATACTACAGGTGATATCTCAGTATACACTACACACAGAGTATATACTACAGGTGATATCTCAGTATACACTACACACAGTGTATATACTACAGGTGATATCTCAATATACACTACACACAGTGTATATACTACAGGTGATATCTCAGTATACACTACACACAGTGTATATACTACAGGTGATATCTCAGTATACACTACACACAGAGTATATACTACAGGTGATATCTCAGTATACATGACAGGTGGTGTCTCAGTATACACTACACACAGTGTATATACTACAGGTGATATCTCAGTATACACTACACACAGAGTATATACTACAGGTGATATCTCAGTATACACTACACACAGTGTATATACTACAGGTGATATCTCAGTATACACTACACACAGAGTATATACTACAGGTGATATCACAATATACATGACAGGTGGTGTCTCAGTATACACTACACACAGTGTATATACTACAGGTGATATCTCAGTATACACTACACACAGAGTATATACTACAGGTGATATCTCAGTATACACTACACACAGTGTATATACTACAGGTGATATCTCAGTATACACTACACACAGAGTATATACTACAGGTGATATCACAATATACATGACAGGTGGTGTCTCAGTATACACTACACACAGTGTATATACTACAGGCTATATCTCAGTATACACTACACACAGTGTATATACTCACGGTGATATCTCAGTATACACTACACACAGAGTATATACCACAGGTGATATCTCAATATACATGACAGGTGGTGTCTCAGTATACACTACACACAGTGTATATACTACAGATGATATCTCAGTATACACTACACACAGTGTATATACTACAGATGATATCTCAGTATACACTACACACAATGTATATACTATAGGTGATATCTCAGTATACACTACACACAGTGTATATACTACAGGTGATATCTCAGTATACACAACACACAGTGTATATACTACATGTGATATCTCAGTATACACTACACACAGTGTATATACTACAGGTGATATCTCAATATACATGACAGGTGATATCTCAGTATACACTACACACAGTGTATATACTACAGGTGATATCTCAATATACATGACAGGTGATATCTCAGTATACACTACACACAGAGTATATACTACAGGTGATATCTCAATATACATGACAGGTGATATCTCAGTATACACTACAGGTGTATAAATACTTTACTGGTAATGGAACATTGTTAACACATGTAATATAATTAAATGACACATCAATCACTTTGAAAACAGATACATTTCCTCATTATTGTTCGGTGAACTTTCAGTTTAGTAATATGGGCTGGAGCTGAGTGAGTGAGTGAGTGAGTGAGTGAGTGATTGATTGATTGATTGATTGATTGATTGATTGATTGATTGATTGATTGATTGATTGATTGATTGATGATTGATTGAGTGAGTGAGTGAGTGAGTGAGTGAGTGTGTGAGTGAGTGAGTGCGTGAGTAAGAGATAATGGGGGGGGGGGGGGGGGGGGGGGGGGGGGGAGAGGCGAATTGTCTAAGTTTCTGTGGTATTCATGGTTTAAAGCAATAAATGTGGCAATAAGTGAGGATATGTTTGTACATCTCACTTCCTGGAGTGTGACAGATGTGGAGTTGAGACCACCCCCAGTGTATCAGTGTGTGTGTACATCTCACTTCCTGGAATGTGACAGATGTGGTGTTGAGACCACCCCCAGTGTATCAGTATGTGTGTACATCTCACTTCCTGGAGTTTGACAGATGAGCTGTGTAGATGATTCATTCCAGAAACGCTGGTGTCAAGTGAACGTCTATCTGAACTTGTTTTTAAAGCCATGACAAAACATAGAATGTCAAGTCACCTAGACTCAAGCTTCGACTCTGAAATTACATAATTTTGATGGAACAAAAAAACTCTATTTAAATTGAAAAGGAGCTGACCTGTGGTTTGGGTGATTCAGAACCTAAGGAAAATCTAGGCTTGCTTCATTTAGAGTTTTTGCAGTACATTACAGAAAGGGCTGGGCAGAGGGGAAAATAATACGGTTGAGGGAATGTGATACAGACGACAAGTTACCATACCATGTAGACAGTATCTGTCAGAGCATGACCTTCCTGCTGCTTTCTGTACTATCCCAATAGAAGACAGTGTTGATGATTTTAGTTCTATCCACTGTATGGTCTGTGGATGTATTTGGAGGCTCATACTTAAAACAGACTAACAATGATTATCACTCCATCTCATACAATTTAATAAGGAAGAGCTGAGAGAATCGTAACTTCCATACCAACGTACACTTCCAACAAAACACACACACACACACGCCACTTTGTGGGCTCGTGGATAGGCACAATCTGGATACACAATCCAGATAATGACATGATTACTTTACAGGAGGAAAATTAACCCTCTCACTCACAAGTAATAACACACAGGTTCTTGTAAGTCTAGAATAAAAGGCACAATTCCCTTTACATCTGATCAATCAGAAATATCAAGTCATCGTAAGTTGTTCATTATCTTCCCAACAACCTGCATCGACAATCAATGGGAGTGACATTGGTAAGCTGTAGGCTAAACAAGCAAGCACATGCTCACAATGGTGCGACACACAGGCACTTCTGCCCCACTAGGCATCACACAAAGCTGGACTCCTAATGGCAATTTCCCTGATCTGATTAGTCAGCGACACTCTGTGCAGGAGTTGTATGTGGCCCTGGGGCTGACACACTTCCATACACAAACTCAATTGGCAGTACAACACAGGCCTACATTGGCAGTACAACACAGGCCTACATTGGCAGTACAACACAGGTTAACATTGGCAGTACAACACAGGTCTACATTGGCAGTACAACACAGGTCTACATTGGCAGTACAACACAG